TGACCAAGAGAAAAAACATAGCATACAATAAAATGATGCAAATAAAGCACACACGGAGCTCTGTCGAGGAATACAGAGCAACGAAAAGGTGTGAGAGGCATGTTCATAGGAGGAAGAAAAGACGATGGGGGAATAAGAATCTACAGGAGATAGAAGAGGCCTTCATCTCCAAAAATACTAGAGAATTCTTCCCGGTTATTAATAAAGGAAGAAAGCCCTTCATCGCCCGTACCACAGGATGCAGAGCAAACGATGGTTCTTTGTTAACTGATAAACAAGGCATTTCAGACAGATGGGCTGAATATTTTTCAACCCTTCTTAACAGAAATGGCACAAATATCTCAGAGGCAAATAATCTAATTGCAGATGGTGAAGACATAGAACCCCCAGACGAGGAAGAAATCAATGAAACCATAGAAGGACTAAAAAGCAAGAGAGCCCCAGGCATTGATAACATCCCAGCAGAGTTCTATAAACATGGTAGTCAAGAACTCATAAAAATCCTCCTGGAAATGTTTCATGCCGTTTGGGTTGATGAAGAGCTTCCAAGTGATTGGAAAAAATCCATTATATGCCCAGTGTACAAAAAAGGGGATGTCTATCAATGTAATAATTACAGGAGCATATGCCTTCTACCCACCACCTACAAAATTTTTTCAAGGATTCTTTATAGAAGAATAATTTCTTATGGTGAGGCTGAAATCAGAAAATACCAGGCCGGATTCATTAAGGGTAAATCAACAATCGATCAAATATTCACCTTGCGAATCCTTCTGGAGAAAATCAAAGAATACCAAATTGGTACACATCACATCTTCATTGATTTCAAGCAAGCATATGATTCCATAAACCGTGAGGGAGCATACAAAGTAATGACAGAAATGAATGTACCTACAAAACTTGTAAGGCTTGTTAGAATGACAATAGAGGCTATTGAATGTTTCGTACGAGTCCAAGGTGATTTATCAAAGGAGTTTAGAACATCGACAGGTGTAAGGCAGAGTGATGCTCTGGCATGTCTGGTATTCAACTTTACTCTTGAAAATTCATAAGGGATTCTGGTATCCAGACTACAGGAACCCTCCTAAATCGAATGACCCAAATACTTGAATATGTGGGCAATATTGATATAATGGGAAGATCGTTTGCGGCAGTACAAGAAGATTTTACAAGCCTGGAAGATTCGGCAGCCAAAATCAGTCTTATTATTAACGTGTCCAAAACAAAATAAATGTCCACCCTATCCTCACGTTTAACAAGGGAAAACCAAGTGTGGCTGGAACAGCATGGAATCAAAAAAGTTGATGAATTGGTATATATTGGGTCATTGATAAATTCATGAAATAACATTGATTGTGAGATAGACAGGACGATCACAGTGGCTAATCGGTGCTATTTCTCTCTCCAGAGGCATCTTCGCAGTAGAATGTTGTCGAGACAGGCCAATAAGAATATATAAAACACTCACAAGACTAGTAGTCACATATGGCTGTGAGAGTTGAATCTCAACTAAAGCAGTTGAGAAATCCCTGCTCAGATTTGAAAGGATGATTATACGACACATATTCGGAGGGGTCCAGGAAACACTACAAAATTGGAGGAGAACGAATTTAGAAATCAAGATATTACTTAATGACCTGGATATGAGCCAATTCATCGTACTGGCAAGACTACGCTGGGCAGGAAATGTTATGCGTATGGATATGAATGCACCTCCACAGAGAGCTATGAATGAGCTGTATATGGAAATAGACGAGTGGGAAGACCATGTTTGCGCTAGCAAGACTGTGTGGCTGCTGATGCATGTAGACTACTTCGTGTCAGAAATTGGAAGGCTGCAGCAACTAACTGGGAGAACTGGAGATCCATGCTGGAGCAGGCCAAGTCTCGAATGATTGGGATGTAGCGCCATTTAATAATAATAATACATTAGACAGCTGTGAAAAACAAATGATAATTGATTGTTTTGAAAAATATTTTGTACCATCTGTGATTTTTACTTTCTCTTTCCTTTGTCTGAAAATACTTATTTCTCCCATAACAAGGAAGGTAAGTGAAACTTGTGTGATGCGTGCACCACACCAGATTTTTTCAAAAATTGTATTGGCTAATTACAAATAAAAACATCTGGTGTGTCCACTCACACGACTTATTTCACCTACCTATTTCAGAAAAGTTTTTATATCTTTACATATGTTCATGAAGAAACAAAAAAAAATTGAACTAATTTATTTTTCTGAAAATTGATCAAAGAAAAGATTTGAGTACGATTTATTTGATAAACTAAAGCAATGTAAACCGGCTTAAGGTAGATCAGTATAAAAATTTCAATACTCTCTAACATTGCTGATCAAAAACTTTTTGCCATAGCTTGCATTGTCAAACAATAATTTCCGTTAAAAGTAGAGGAAATAGTGAAGCTTATGTGATGCGGGCAACAGATTTTCTTACTTTCACTTCTTTTTTCTTTTTTTTTTCTTTTTTCTCTCATTCACCCCTTTCTGGCACCAGGATATGAACCCGTAATCTTATATTGGAAATTGAATAGCTGTAACTCAGTTAATAGTTGTCCAAAATGAACGATTTTTATATAGTTTTGTAGGGGATTTCATTATCTTTCAAAAAACAGGCTAAGCGGCTTTCAAAAGTTTTATTAAAAATTTCACCGTATAATATATACTTAGGGAGTTAGGCCCCATGACATTTTTCTTTTCTTTATAACTTTTTTTCCTGAATTTTCTTGGGAATTTAGTCCATATACGAAAATTGAAATGACAATTATTAGAACATTATAGGCAAGTTTCATCAAAATCGTTAGAAATGTTTTCGCACTAGTCTATAGTAAAGCATGTTTTTCATTTATTGTGTGCAAGCTATTGAGCATGGAGCACTGAATTTCTGTCACAGGCATCAGTAGTCAAAACCTTACACAAAATAAAAAAGAAGCAATAAAATTGGTTCAGTAGTTCCTGAGAAAATCTTGGCACAGACAGATAGACCAATGGCTAAAAATGTGTTTTTCGGACTCAGGGAGCTCTGAAACGTATAGATTCGTCGAAAACTGCATATCGGAAATTTTAACCGATTGCAATACTTTCCTTATCTAGTATAGGTAGGAAAGTAAAAACTTTACAAATAAAACATATTTCATATATAAAAAAATATTATCTAAGTCTTATTATCTAATAAATAATCAAAAATGCTAACATTGACTTCTAAACATTTTCCGCTTCTTTTTCTAGGGACAAAAGTCGTCGTTCTGATTCTTTCATATCTTTCTATAATGACGCCTGCAACATTTTTATTACGTTGATTTAGTGGATCTCAAATGTCTACTTTTATTTCACACTTTATCTTTGAACCAGTCGCATAAACAATAATCCTTTTTATCAGGTCTGTGATGAGGAAAGTGTTAATAATATTCCTCAGCAGCAGTTATAGCACTCCCATTGCAAAACCCATAAACAAACAACATACTTGCATATTTTCGATGTGAATGGGTACTTGGTATGTTGTAAGACTTTAATAATACAAGTAAAAATAACAATGGAATCACTGCGATGATCACTAGGCATAAATAACATACGTTCTAATTTGATGGCAACTTATTTACTATCTGTTGTAAACAAAATCATAATGCTAGTAGCATAATTCTAATGCATGTATCAAATATTCTTTAATCATGAAATTATTGTTATTTGTAATTAGCCAATAAAATTGAAATAAATGAAAATCAGATAACCTATATTTTTTTTATTTTCCTGTGTGCAACCCACTCCTGGAGTTTCCCTCCCCCTCCCCATTTCTCATGACTCACCCTAAGTGTAGTAAATAACATCAATACATCCCTAAGATGTATTCAAACCATAAATGAGTACATAGAGTGAAATGTAGTATTGTCCGATTCTACAGGGAAAAGCAGGAAATTTATCTTCTTAATTAAAAAAATTAATTTTTCTGCTTTTCCATGTGGAATAGAACCATGGTTTGTTAAAAAAAAAAATTTAGCTCTTTATGTCTCTTACCAACACCTCTTTAAGTTTTCTTTGACTTATGGGATAACATACAGCTAATGAATGTACAAATAAAGGTTCAACTTTATGTATGAAAGTACACCCATTGGAACTACATACATAGAACTTTTTATTTGTATTTCAATAAAAATACAATGACTTCACAGAGATCAATAAAATGTCCAATCATAAATTTAACATAATATCATGAACTCATAACAAAATAAAACTAAATAGGAATGGAAAAGAGAGATATGTATTCTTTCTTGTAAATACAAGACAAGATTTCTTTCATATTTAAAATGAAAATACTTATTAAACATGCATCCCTGCATGTTTAAAAAAAAAATAAGTAGTACAACTTCAAATATAACATTTAACAGAAATACATCAAATAAAAAAACTTTAAAATAATAAAACTAAGTTTACCTATAAACATAAAATATCAATTTAACAGAAAACAAACTTAAAAATCAAATTATATATGGAACTAAACAAAAATCACTTTAAAGTCTTCATAAACAATAAAATATCATAAGAAATATGACTAATATATCTGGCCCACAATCAGTAGCCCAAGGCTGAATTCTTGTCGTACTAGTAAGTTAAAATTAATCTTTTTTTTTCTTACACATTTTCCTTATCCTCCAATATTATTTATAAACATATACATATATTTCAAAATATTTGTAAATATTTTTTAAGCAATATTGGAGAGAAAGGGAAAAAAATAGTAAATTTTAGCTTAGCGTCACACAAGATCGTCATCAGGTTGCCAACTAACTAAAGGCGAGCTATAATCCGTAACTGTATCCACATAACAGCTTATAATTAATTAATTCAGTCATTTATACATATTCAAACAGTAAAAAAATCTTATGAGTTATTCCAATAAAAAAATTGGAAAGGAAATCGAATCTAAAAAAGTAAAACTTGCTCAACTTTGAATCTTGATAACTTAAGGATTAGTAAAATCTTAAAATTCTATTAATCTTCAAAGCCGTTCGTGGGAGGGTAGTTGACACCTTCAGCATGAACCAACCATCTTCCAGATTTGTCCTTAAAATCAAGTATTTAAATTTATATAGTTTCAAGTTTAAAATTATTTTAGTAAACATTAAGTTTAATATTATGAGGATGACAAATATTGTGGTTTATTAAATATATTAGATTGTAAATCCTGACAATATGTCATTCTCATAATTTTAAAAGAACAGTAAATTCATCTCTAAAATTAAGCTTAATAAGATTCATATGACCTATATCTATAAATTACAGCCCTAGGCCTAAAAGATATATCTTAAAAACCTCTATTAGTTACAGGAACATTACCTTCAAATTCTAAAAGTTTTCAAGATATCTTATTTCTTTAGTGATTTTAATTCTATAACCATATTTCATTTTACCTTTGTGATTATTAAATTAGTTCTAGTTTTTGAAAGTATTACCTATTTTGAGATAGCAAGGTCATGCTTTGATTTATGTTCTATATTGTAGTTCTTGGATAATCAGATTCACTATTGGATTAACAGAAGCTTATATGGTCAGTATTTTCATAAAAAAGAGCTTCCGGTAATATAATAATGCATCCTTATATATAAAAAATTAGGTTACAATTGAATAGGTTAAATTGGTTACAAATCAGAAAAGCTACAATAAATTGATATCTGATGGCAATAACTAACAATCGAACTTTGGAATTACATATCAAGATTAATAAGTAAATAAATAGTTTTGAAGAGCAACATTATTCACCGCTCACACTACAATCCAATGTTTACATCAGAGAGCAAGGTTATTATTCATCTTTTTTTTAGAATTTAATATTCAATAAATAGTTATGCAAAAAAAAAAAAATTTACCTGCATCACTGGTTTAATGCTAAAAGTGAGTTCTTCATGTAATTTTTGATTATCTGGTGAATTAGCAAGTACAAATCTATGAGCCTAAAACAAATGAAATATTTTCAATTAATTTTATTTTTTATTCTATTTTCAAAAATAATGGCATAAAAATTATAATGCAAAATAAAATATAAGATTTGAAGCAGAATAAAAATACAACACTGATTAATTTATCCTAATTCAGGAAATATAAAAATGTATTTATTTATCTAGATTTTAGAGTTTAACGCATTCAATAGATACAGTCTACCACAGACAGCCAGAAAAATAAAAACTTGGAAAATTTTAAAACTGTGTACTTCATATAACTATAAAATGATATTTTATCTAGAAAAATGAATTTAGATCCGATAAAGAGGATTGAGAACTCATTTCACCAGCATTTGCTTAAAGAAGGGCTGGGATCTAAGCAAGAAAAATATTTTGTATCTCTATTTGGTAATGTTTAACAATAAACCATTCAATGATAGAATAAGACTTTTGGCATGTTAATGTTTTGAGATGACAAGAAAAAAAACTTGAACATAAAAAAAGACCTCCATAATACCAAATATTCTAAAATTGAAAGCACAACTCAAAATCTAAATCATCAAGATTTTATCTTTTTTAGTTAAATTCCTCAACTAATAAGCACTTCAGATGGTTTATGATCAAACTATTATAATACAAGAAAAACTCTATAGAGCTGCTATATTAATTTTATACTTTTTAGTCTCAAATATTAATTTCAGCAACAATGATTTTTGAGTTCTGTCCTAGGTAATTCTGTAAGTTTTGTATAAGGCATGATTATTTAAAGGCAACAAAACTCTTAAGATTTTTCTTTTCTCATAAAAATTCAGATAAATGCAAATCTTAATTTTTCTATTACCATAGGTGGTTCCGATGCAATATATTCTGGTAATGATTTTAAATCACATTTCTTCACTTCTGATTCATTGCCAAAATCAATAAAAACAACTTTAACATTGTCTCTGAAGATTTGGACGATTTCTGCTCTGTACCTAAAATTTGAATGACATAAAATTAGCATAAAATAACAATATTTAACTGAAACTAATCAAGTCGAATTAACACAATACCAATCTCCTTCATAAGGTGCGATACATTTTGAACCAGTTTCTATTCTTATGTCAGCATGATCTCCTTCGAGGACGCATTTCTTTAATTCAGTCATCATAGATCCCTGTTTTTGGTAGTCATCCAATTTGTAAGCCCAAAATTCATTATCACGTTTAACAGCCCCTACAGTAACCTGTTAACATTCAAATTTTTATTGTACATTCCATAATTTAACAATTTACTTCTATAAAGATGAAGGAAGCTAGTGAGTGATAAATATTCAGGACGCAGTGATTATATAGAAATGTCGGCACCAATAAAAACTTTATAATAATTGCGTCCTGAATATTTATCACCCACTATAAAGATAATTGTAATATCATGAAATTAAAAAAAAAAATAATATTTGGATTAATTATAAGTTTAACATTAGACTTAAGTCGTAAGTGTCATGGCCGAAACTGAGGTTCTATATTCGTATCGTTCCGTCTTTGCTAGTTTGTTATGTGCTTATTATCTCAAATCCTGTTCTCAGACTTTGTAAACAGTGAGTTTATAAACAATTTAACATTTTTACATTACAATCAGTGAGGTGAGTGACTTTTATTAACAATTAGCAACATTAAATTGGTACTCGATTGCTAGAGACAGTTTACGTGGCAGATAATTCCCCTCAGCGGGTCTTATCTTTCAAATTCAAGGTCACGGCGCTTTATTTTACGTTCAGAATATCTTGAGTTCGTACCTAAGACAGTATATATATTTTTTTTTTCTCTGTTTTTATTTCTTAATTGATTATTTTATTTTAATATTTTTTTTCTACTGAGACTCTATTTTATTTATTTATAAAAATGTTTTTTTTAATATTTGTATATATATTTGTAAATAGATTAGTTATTAAGTATTTGTTTTGTAAATTTTCTTATTAGTGATACTTTTTTTTTTTTCTCTCTTCTTTTTGTATATATTATTATTTAGAGGTATGGATTCTGATAAGAACATTTCTTTTGACGAATCAGATGAAGAGACTCCTTTCTCCGAAATCAGTGAGACTGATTCTCAATATTTAACAAGGCGAACTCTCCAAAAGCGCCATAGAAACTCTGCCCCCGGTTCGGCGGGCAACTCACCTAATAAAAAAAAAAACAAATCCGCTAAAACAAAGCAAGCTCTCAAAGTAAATAAAGAATCAAAAACTAGTAATAATTCAGCTATGAAACCTGACACTAAACCATCAACTAACACATCCAGTAACAATTCTGTTACAGCCAATAATAAAATTAACGAAATCACTGAACCTAGAACTTTCACTGAACCAGTGCCACCTCCGATTTATGTAAGCAAGATTGACAATTTCATTCAGTTCGGTCAAGAAATAGCTAATCTGATCGGACCGACCAACTTCGGTGTTTTTCTCGAGTCAACGATATAAAGATTAACACCAATACTAAAGATGATTATAAAAAACTTATAAATCATTTGACAGCACTCAATCACGACTTCCACTGCTATCAACTAAAAGAAGACAAAACATATAGAGTGGTTTTGAGAGGTCTTCACTCTACCACACCCACTACCGCTATAAAAAAAGATTTGGAAGATATCGGCCATTCGGTAAGACATATATCTTCTATCTTACATCCTATTGATAAATATCCACTGCCATTATTTTTCATCGATCTAGAACCAGCCCGGAATAATGCAGAAATCTTCGAAGTTAAAAGACTGCTGTATTCTGTTGTAAAATTTGAAGAGCCGAGGCAGAAACCAATAGTCGTTCAATGCACCAAGTGCCAAAACTTAGGGCATACAAAGGCTTACTGCCATCACTCGGTGCGTTGCGTTAAATGCGCCGGGCCTCACGCCTCTAACACCTGCCCGAAACCGTTAAATGAACCACCAAAATGTGCCCTTTGTGGTGAGGACCACCCTGCAACCTATCGGGGCTGCATTATCTATAAGAAGCTATATAAGCAAAGAACTTATAATTTATCATTAAAAGAAGAACAGAAGAATTCTACCCAGGCACAGGTACAGGCACCTGAACTCCTAAATTTGGCAGCGTTTCCTCAACTGCCGAACGAAATAATACCACAATTGACGCACAACCCTTCTACATCAACAGATCATCCCCATCAAGACTCTAGGCACCTATATTCAGACACTACGGTGAAGAATCAACAGCCGCGACGTCAGACGCCTCAGATTTCCAAAACTAAGACTCAGGCTTCCAAACCTAAGATCCAGACCTCCCAATCCAAGACTCAAATCTCCCACATTCATTCAAAATCTCCACGTCAGCAAATGCCTCCTCACCAGATACCTATACGTGTAAAATTACCGCCCGAACATCCAACTCCTGTTTATTCCCACCCTACTGCTCATATTTACTCTCCTTCCCAAGTTCCAAGGGTACATCCTTCATCAGACACTCCTTATCATAAGATCTTTCCCTCACGAACTCCTAATCAAAACCAACCTGACCAACAAAACCCGATCGATTTAATAAACTCCACCCTTGCTTCCTTCCTGAAAGATCTCCAAGAGACTATCAAGCCACTAATTACCCTCCTCACAAGAATCCTTACCGAAATTCCCTTCAATCTCTCACGATGAGCACTAAGCCCCTAGCTGTTCTTTTATGGAATGCTAACGGACTACAAAACCACCGAGACGAACTCGACATTTTTCTTCATGACTATCACATTGATATTGCTCTACTGACAGAAACTCACTTCACTCGACGTTCATATTTCTACATACGTGACTATATCACTTATAGATCAGACCACCCCGACAACACTTCCCATGCCGGTTCTTGCATCCTTATCCATAAATCCTTATCCCATTCTCTCATTCCTTCTACTCCAACGGAGGCTATTCAAGCAACCTCGGTTATCATTTCAACTCGTCCTTTCCATTTAACATTCTCAGCTGTATACTGTCCTCCCGGTCATACTCTTACCTATAACTTACTTGAATCCTTATTTCAATCCTTCGGATCGCGCTTTATTGCTGGAGGAGACTACAATGCTAAACACCAACGATGGGGTTGTCGATCATCCAACTCCCGTGGTAACATACTATCTTCTGTCTCAACTTCCAATAGTTACTCTGTCCTCTCTCCTATGAATCCTACCTATTGGCCAACATCCCTCAAAAAACGCCCTGATATCCTCGACATATTTGTCACCTCCCAAATTTCCTCTTCCCATGTCACAATAAAATCCCTGGATGACCTCTCCTCAGATCATTCTCCAGTTCTGCTTTCATTACACACAACCTTCGCTCCTAAGCCCTCGTCCTCTCCTACACTGATTACAGGACGAGTAAACTGGGACAATTTTCGTAAAGACCTGGAAAATAAATTGGACCTAAATATTCCACTTAAGACGAAACGTGATATTGACACAGCCATAAAAGAACTTACTACATCTATAAGTGACAAAATAAAGAATAATACATCTACCAATAAAACTGACAACTCCCAACAGACAAATTTGCCGCAGCATATTCGTATCTTATTAAGGGAAAAACGCAGAGCAAGATCGAAGTGGCACAGGACTAGATATCCATCAGATAAGACATATTACAACAAATTAACTAACCAACTAAAAGCTGAAATTAGAAAATACAAAGTTCAAAATTTACATAACATGACAGAAAAACTTACTACTTGTGACAAATCACTATGGTTGACTACTAAAAAACTCCTTAAATTCAAAGATTTTAACCACCCACTTATTACTGAAACCCAAACCTGGTCCAGATCTGATGATGAAAAATCTCAAATATTTGCTCAACACCTCTCAAAAACATTTAATCCACACCCAGACATCCTTAATCCAACCCACCTTGAGTTTATTGAAGCAGAATTGGATACCCCACTCCAATTGACTCCTCCACCTAAAGCATTTCATCCTTCAGAAATATCCAATATCATTAATAGATTACCTTCTCGCAAAGCTCCTGGCCATGACCTAATCACCTCCCAGATCCTAAAATGTCTTCCTAAAAAAGCCATACTGTTCCTAACCTATATATTTAATGCTGTACTCCGCACCACATATTTTCCTGACTCTTGGAAACTATCCATTGTCAAAATGATACCTAAACCCACAAAGCCGCCAGAACACCCATCCTCTTACCGTCCTATCTCCCTTTTACCCATTATGGGCAAAATCCTGGAAAAACTCATTTTAAAACGCCTGTATCCCATCCTAGACTCTAAACACATTATCCCAGATCACCAATTTGGATTCCGCACATCCCACTCCACTATTCAGCAATGCCATCGTGTGGTAGATGTAGTCTCCTCTGCATTGGAGCGCGGAATGTACTGCACGGGAGTCTTTCTCGACGTTGAACAGGCGTTTGATAGAGTCTGGCATCCGGGACTGATGTACAAACTCCGTGAATTCCTACCACCTACATACTTCCTCATTATACGTTCCTACCTTACTGACAGATACTTCAAAGTCAATCATAACAATGCTTATTCATCTCTTTTTACTCAGTCTGCCGGTGTTCCTCAAGGTAGTATCCTAGGTCCTATCCTTTACACAGTTTATACAGCTGACATCCCAACCCAATCCAACACTGTCATCACCACCTATGCCGATGACACGTGTATCCTATCAGTTAATAACGATCCTTTAATTGCATCCCAAACTCTTCAATCACATATCACAAGCCTTGAAGAATGGTGTAAAAATTGGAGAATAAAAATAAATTCCAACAAATCCCATCAAATCACTTTTACCCTCCGTCGTAAACCTATGACCTCTTGTCCTACAGTATCCTTCAATAATACTCCACTTATTCCTGTTGAGCAAATCCGCTACTTAGGACTCCACCTTGACAAACGACTCACTTGGAACCCCCATACCAGACTGAAACGACTAGAAACCGCCCGACGTTTTCGACTACTGCAGCACTTACTAGACAAACGATCTAAGCTTTCAATCAATTATAAACGACTCGTATATATGACAATAATAAGACCTATTTGGACTTACGGAATTGAGCTTTGGGGCTCCACTAAACCATCGAATTCCTCTCGTATCCAATCCTTACAATCCAAAATCCTTCGTAAAATCCTCAACGCTCCTTACTTTGTCACAAATAAAATCATCCATAAAGACCTTAATGTTCCATATGTTTCCGATCTGGCCCAATCCAGATACCTTTCCTTCCATAACAAACTGCAGAATCATCCGAATCCTCTCGTTTCAAACCTTGCTTCCTCCTCGATCCCTGATAACCCTCCGAGGCGTCTGAAAAGAAGATGGCCTCGGGATCTTCTAATATAGAACTTTAATTTGAGTTCTACCAATGGGTAGTTTCTCTTCATGTTGTACATGCCATGTTACAAATTTCTCATTTACTTATTGTATTCTCTATGTAATACAGTTGTAAATTCCATTGAAATAAAAAAAACAAAAAAAAAAAAAAAAACATTAGACTTATAATGCAATCGAAAAGAAAAAAAAAACCAGAAATATTGTATATCCTAAAACAATTTGATAAACAAAACTAAAACATAACAGTTACATTCTTTCAATTTAGAATGAATTCCAGATACTATAACTAAACATGTATTGCATTCAATTAGAGACTGCCGTTACAGTTAAAAGCTGAACGCTACACACAGATCCTAGGATTTGGCACAAAATCCTGGAATGTCCAGAACATTTTCCTTAAGAAAAATGTTAATTAATCTCGAGGACTATACAAGACTAATCCTAGGCATACTGATTTATTCAAAACCTAATGGTAAAGTTACCTGGTGTCTTACTTAACGTCATAAGGCTTTCACCAAAAATTTATGATTATGGATTAACCTGGTTCTTGCCTAAAGTACTTAAATTGCGTTTAAAGTTGACAAGAATTTTTAAAGAACTAAACTGTTCAAAACATAACTCAGCAAGTAAATTATTGCAGGTTTTGTAAATCTCAATAGAAAAAATACAAATATAAAACATACAAATCCTGCTCCACAATATTAAATTAATAAATACTTGAACTTACTTTTGTAAATGTGTTAGGAGGGATAGGTGCTTGACTTAGATTGCTGGATTTATGACTCTGAAAAAAAAAAAAAAATTTATATTTGTATATTATGATTATCTAAGCATTTAAACAGGGTCTATATCTTCATTTTATTCCATAAGTTAATGATATTATAATATCATCAATGATTTTGAAATCAAAAAGAATATTGTTTGTTTGTTGCTGTTTATAAGCGTTAAACTCCCATGTCATCAATGCCTAGATTGATATTAATCTATTTTATATTTTAGAGTAGATGTATTAAATACTAGCAACCTATCACTAAAACTTCAAATACATTCAAATATATAACACTAGCTTTACCCGGCCATACTCTGCTATGGGCCAGTCTGGGAAAATCGAAAAGAAAGAAAATAGAAAGCACATATGAGTGGATTAATACCAAAGGGCATCTGTCATTTTTAAAAAGTTGGGAAACAAATTTGTCAATAACATAGCTTTAATTTAAACTAATTATAATGATTTTTTTTCATGATTCAACTTGAACATTCTTAATTATCAGAGTGAATACACTGTCATTCTTAATCATCAGAAACAGTCTGCGTTGAACTTATAAAACTAAAATTGATTTTATCTCCGCTTTCTGAAAATGACAGAGATCCGTCTTTGGTATGAAGCCAATTATATATTTTCATGTTTAATTTTATTATTATATTTTTTTATATTTAATGCATTGTTTAATGTTCAACTTTGTGTTTATTATTTTATGGCTTATATAAATGTAAATGTTTGTTTGTTCAAACTCTTTAATCTCGGAAAGTTCTTCACACATTGTCTTGAAATTGTGGCTTAATGTTTTTAGAAACGCACATGGTTTAATATACCAACTATTATGAAAAATAAGACGAAACTATAGATATTTATTAAAAAAGCATCATCAGTTAGATGTAAAAGCAACACATGCGATTCAAAATATTTTACGATACTATTTCAATGTTCAAATATAGCAATGTATTGAAATAGTACTATACTATTTACCATAGCATTCATTTTGTGTGCATTAGAGCTGCCTTGCCTTCCACCTCCTTCAAAAGATTTTGTATACCCCTCCCTCCTAAGATATTTGATTGTTTGCTTCTTCTTAGTAACAACTTGATTAAATATAGAGTTATAAAAATTGTAGTGGAAAAATAAACCTTAATCATGAAAGAAACCCTACGGTAAACGGCACAACCTTATTCTAACGTCATATTAAAGAAAATAATTTATTAAAAAATAAAATAAACTGAAATAAATGAAAAACTGATTTCGAAAATGAACATAAATGGTGATAATTATTACTCAAGAATAAAATATTTTTAAATAATATCAAATCAAATATTAGCTCGCGCGGGCTCATTACCGTGTATGGGGAGCGTTCCACGGGTGGCGGATGTGGGGATGGTCGGTGGAAATTCCTTGGAAGTTCTTCCCGGCTAAGTCCGATGGACTCGCTGACCAACAATGAGAGGGGACCTCCAGACCTGCTGGAGGTAGGGGCCCACCAGAATTGCTGGAGGGTGTGACGTAGGATTGAACGCCCTACTCACATATCTTTAGTTCACCAAACACCACAAAAAGTCATGGATCTCCATAAGGTAAAACGCTCATTATCCGGAGGTAAACTAGTCCCCCGTTCGGGTCTCCGGGTGGGGACTGCTTTAGGGGATTCATGGCGCAAGTTGAAATATAGGGATTTAAATATTGGTACGTGGAACGTAAGGAGTTTAAACACAGCAGGGGGGCTAAAATCGGTCGCGAATGAGGTAAATGGGTACAATTTGGATGTCGTGGCTCTGCAAGAGGTTCGCTGGCCAGGGGAGGGCTCGATGAGGGAAGGAAAGTACACTATTTGGTACGGAGGAAGCGGGAATCATTGTTTAGGTACCGGGTTTCTAATTAGGAGTAGATTACTATCCGCTTTGAGGGACGTACAATTCTTTAGTGATAGAATTTCGGTAGCTATATTTCAGGGACGTTGGTTTAAAATCGCATTAATAAACATACATTGTCCGACCGAAGACAGTGACGATGAAGTCAAAAGTGAATTTTACGATAAACTCGAATGGGTTTATGATAAACTACGCGAAACTACATGAAAATAATTGTAGGTGACGCGAACGCAAAGGTAGGAAGGGAAGAAGTTTATATTCCGACGATTGGTAAAGAAAGTTTGCACGAATATAGTAATGATAATGGGATCCGTCTGATAAACTTTGCCATCTCGAAAAACCTGATAATTAAAAGTACGACGTTTAAACATAAGGATATTCATAAATATACTTGGACATCACCGGATTCGCAAACACGAAATCAAATAGATCATGTCTTGATACAACACAGCTGGCAAAGCAGTATAATCAATGTACGGTCTTATCGCGGAGCAGAATGTGGGTCGGATCATGAATTAGTAATCGCGAAACTTCGACAAAAACTTAATATAAAAAAGAGAAAAGAAAACCGTTTCGATTTTGAGAATTTTAATTTGGAAAAATTAAAAAATCCATCAATTAGAAACCAATTCGAGCTAGATGTTAAGAATAGGTTTGAAGCTTTAGAGCTTCCTGACGAGGACCACGAGGATATTGACAAGTTATGGGTAGAGATCAGGGATAATATAAAAGCGGTCGGTAACTCGTGCCTAGGAAAAAAGGAAACTAAGAATAACAAACCGTGGTTTGATGAAGATTGCTTAAACATGTGCGAAAAAAGAAAAGCCGCTAAATTAAAAGCTCTAAATAATCCTAGCGAAGACAATCTGGAATACTTCCGAATCTCAAAGAACGAAACGACAAAATTGCTCAAAAATAAAAAAAGGGAGTATCTTAAAAATAAAATAATTGAAATAGAAACTAATAGAATCGAAAATAACGTAAGAGACATGTACAAAGGTATAAACAGATCACGTAAATATGTAGGGCCCGTAACGTCTGGAATTAGGGATGATAATAACAATATTCTGACCGATCCGGTTGACATATTGAATAAGTTTAAGGACCACTTTGACAATATTTTAAATACGGGAAATTATGATCTGTGTCCTCCTTCTGAGTACCAGAGTGCTGAACCGTTAATAGAAGGACCAAGTAAAGAGGAAGTTGAAGTAGCTATCGGAAAATTAAAATCATATAAAGCAGCGGGAATCGATAATATTCCTACTGAACTAATTAAGGCATGCGGGGAAGCTGGAGTTTCTAAAATACATCGGTTGGTTAAAAAGATCTGGGTGAACGAGAAATTACCTGAAGAATGGAAAGAATCTATTCTTATTCCGATTCACAAAAAGGGTCCGAGGACGGATTGTAATAACTATCGAGGAATTTCACTCCTTCCGGTATGTTATAAAATATTCACTTCAATCTTAACCAGTCGAATCACGGAATACGCCGAGGAAATTATCGGAGACCATCAATGCGGATTTAGACGGAATTGTTCGACTATTGATCAAATATTTTCTTTACGGCAAATATTAGAGAAAAAATTGGAGTATAACGGTATTGTTCACCAGCTGTATATAGATTTTATAAAGGCTTACGATTCTATTGTCCGCCAGAAACTGTATAATATTCTAATTGAGCAGGGGATTCCAAAAAAACTAGTAAATCTAGTCAGGATGTGCTTGACGGAGACACTCAATAAAGTTAGAATCGGTAATAATTTGTCCGAAAAATTTGAGGTTCATTCGGGCTTAAAACAGGGGGATTCACTTTCGCCTGTCCTGTTCAATTCGGCATTAGAACATGCCATTAGGGAGGTAATGCGAACCGAGAAAGGGTTGGATCTGGGCGGGACAACATCCGTGCTGGGCTATGCTGATGATCTGGTAATGTTAAGCGAAGACGTTGAAACTATAAAACTCAATACTACAACGTTAATGAAAGCCGGGAAAGAACTAGGACTCGAAATAAACGTAGATAAAACAAAATATATGGTTAGCTGCAAAAATGGCGATACTACTGGTGACATCGATATAGATGGTAATATGTTTGAACAGGTAAATAAATTTAGGTATCTAGGTTCAACGATAACTAGAAAAAACGAAATTGAAGAAGAGATTAAGGTTAGACTGAAGGCGGGAAATGCTTGTTATTTTTCTGTGACAAAACTACTTAGTTCGCGCCTACAGTTCTTTATGGATGCGAAACTTGGCCGCTTACATTAAGGGATGAGCACCGTCTTAAGGTTTTTGAAAATAAAGTATTGCGTAGAATATTCGGACCGAAGAAGGATGAGTTAACCGGAGAGTTCAGACGGCTACACAACGCTGAATTGCGTGAGCAGTATCCGGGTAATATAATTGATGTAATTTCATCGCGGCGAATCAAATGGGCTTGTAAAGTTGTTGGGCTTAGTAACGAGAGAATTCCTAAAACGTTAATAATCGCTGTTCCGAATGGTAAACGTCCGAGGGGTAGACCGAAGCGAAGGTGGGAAGATTGCATTAAAGCCGATCTGAAGGGACTGGGTTTGGACGGCGAACGGTGGAGGGAGGTGTGTAACAAGCGATTGGTGGTGTTGGCATCGAACCTTCGGGTTCGCTAAGCCTTATTATTATTATTATTATCAAATCAAATATTTGCGATGTATCATACAACTTCCAAAATATCTTGGGGTAAAAATAAAAAATGAATATAAGAGCGTATAATAGTATTAACCTACATAAGGAGAATCATATCACTTCTTCAAATGATATTTCAATTACTGCAGTAATTATAAAACTTTCGATTAATGAATAACAAAAAAAAAAAAAGAAAATGGCCTTTGCTGAAGAGAAAGTAGTAAATTTTTAAAACCTTATAACTCTGCAACGAATCGTCCGATTTCGATGGATTTTTTTTATTATGTAAGGGATTCAGAAAGCCGAATTGAAAATTTTGTACTTTTTTAGTTATTGGCAAATACAATTTTGAATTCATCGTAACATTTTTTGTAGCTTGTTTTCGGGAAAGTATGTTGTACACATAAATTACAAGGGTTTCAAGGGAAAGACTTTAGCCAAGTTTCGTTAAAATCGTTCCAGCCGTTTTGAACCAACAGTCTATAGCAATTTTGTTTTTACACATATATAATTATCATAGAACAGATGTACTATGCCAGAAACCTTAGCGAGAGTGTACGCAACAACTTCCCAAAGTTTGATGAATGATTTAGTAATGTATAAAGGACAAACTGACAAACATTCATTTATATATATAGCAGATTAGTCATGCTCTAAAAACAATATAATGATAAGCAACTGTTAAAAAAAATTATAGAAAATATATTTATTAGACAGGAGGAAAACAAAAGGGTACCTGAGGTTTATCTGGATCAGGTCCATTAAAAGGTTCTACACTGTTGTAGGAATCGCTTTCATTATTATTTCTGCTTCGGTGATTATGAGTATTTCTATCAGGCCGCCCTCCAAACTGCCTTCCTCCACCTCTTCTGTCTCCTCCTCCTGCTCCACCTCTATGACTGTTTCTTTGATAACCTCTGTTTCCCTGATCGGAAGCAGAGTGATTTTCTCTTCCCAATCTATTATCAGGACTTCTGTTTCCATTTTCTATATTATCTCTGCTGAATTTTTCATTAACTCTGGGATTATTTCTTTCGAAACCATTATCATAATTGTTAAAACCATCATTTTGATAATCTAGATTATAATTTTTTCCTTGAAAATCTCGAGGACTTTTCATACCAATATTTTTCTGCATAACGGGTTGCTCATTACAAAAAGCATCAGATACATCTTTGTAAGTTAGAGTTCCATCCTTTTCGAAAATTACTGAACGCCTGAAGAAATTAAACAGTTTGTATAAATTAATCAAATTCTTGAAAAAAGTAGGACAAAAAAAGTTATTTTCAATAAAACTAAGAACAATTGTATAAATTACGTTATGACAGTTTTTCATTATCTTTCCACAATCAGTGTTATAATTAGAACTAGCTCATCTATATCAATTTGCTTACTTATATTCAGGTTCAAATTAGATTAATTTGCTTAAACATTAAATTTATAATATGATGAGCAGCAATAAGAGCATGTAAATATTGAAGTGTAAGTCATGGGTCTTAGGGCTGTGAACTGTAAAATTCAACTCTTTCATTGAAAGATCCAGAGAGGTTCAAGTAAAATGTCAAAAAAAATTTATGGTTTTATACAATAGAATTAGAAACCTTTAGGTCAAAAGACAAGGGAGGGAGAGAAAATAAACAAATCTGAAGCGTCAATAATAACAGTAATAATAAATACATATCTCAAAAATACTTACGGGCTACATTTATCTTTATGTTGAGGCCAGTGAGTTGCCCGACAAAAATCTGAACAGTACCATGTTTTACATCGTGAACATGTGTAAATAGCAGTCCTAAAACAATAACTACATTGTCCGGGTTTGAAAGGCAGTGCAAGTTTGATTTCTGAGCACAGGTCGGAGAGATCCTTCAATAAAAACCAAATTTAAATTAAAGATCATCATAATAAAATGAATTAAAATAATGCTTAAAAAAAAAAAAAAATGGTCTTTTTAATACTAATGCAAATTATATAATTTTTAAAAAAAGTTGGTAACATTGAAAGGAATGGTGAGATTCAAATTAAAATCAGTAATAAAAATTTCCTTTCTATTACTTTATAAAGTTCTACCATTCCCTTAAATTTAATCAGAACTGAGCTGATAAAGCTACCAATTAAATTTGTATAATGACAAAAACGAAATGGAACTTATGAGCCCTAGTATTGAAAAGCACTCAGTATTCAATGGGCCAAATTTTGCAATATATATAAATATATATATATATATATATATATGTGAATATATATATATATATATATATATATATATATATATATATATATATATATATATATGTATCTAGTTCTGCCATAAATACTGTTACAAAAGTTGAACTTTGTTTACATCCTTGGGTATTATTTAAATAATCCTTACCTCTATCAGGGTATTTTCTTTACATGTCAGGATCATAATCCTAATTAGTTTGTATTTTTCTTTCACTCAGTTAACATGGAGTGGGGTGATAAAGAAAACGGAATAACTTGATTGCCTTACACAAAGTTGGAAAATGTAGGTCAGAGATTTTCAACACTTTGAAACCTTTGGGTATCAACCATATGTTGGTGTACCACACTATAAATAGATAAAATGAGACCCTATCTGTATGTGGCAGACATCAACCTTGCCGTCCCCGCATTTTGAGAACGGCAAATGCAGTAAGAGAAGTGGCTACTCTAATCAGAAGAAATCTCATCCGAAAACAACAAATCATGTCTCCAGAAATGGGAATCTGTCACCAGAAATGATCAATGTCTCACATAATAAAAAGTGATCTTAGGATGGGTGCATTTCGAAGAATGACAGGACAAAGGCTAACTACTTCCCTAAAAAAAAAATTAGAGTGGATAAATGAAAAGTGCTCCTTGGCTGTTAGATCATTGGTCTTCATCGAAAGATTGTGTTTAGTGATGAGAAAATGTTTACAATTGAAGAAAAATGTAATCACCAAAATGATTGTGTGTACGCACTCAGCTCTAAAGGAGCCCAGGAACTCATTGGAAGAGTGGAAAGAGGTCATCACCCTTCGTCAGTGATGGTTTGGTGGGGAGTTTGCTTTGATGGCACTACAAAGCTCCATGTTTGTGAAAAAGGAGTCAAAACAGTGGCTAAAAAATATCAGGACGACATTTTAGAACCTGTTGTCAAGCCTCTAAATGATACTTTGTTTGCTGGAAGTCATTGGATTTTCCAGCAGAATTTCGCTCCATCTAACAAGGCCAGGTCAACACAGCAGTGGCATTCCAACAGTCAACAGCAAAAGAACATTCCAGAGTTCATCTCTGCCTCGGATTGGCTTTCAGGAAGTCTAGATCTCAAACCATTAGATTATCGGCTTTGGTCCGAGCTGGACAGGATGGCATGCCACAGAGCACACCATAACTTGGAAAGCCTAAAACAATCTCTGGTGCTAGCAGTTGAGTGCTTTCCTATTGATGATTGGCCACAGAGATTAAATGCCTGTGTCAAGACAAAAGGGAGACATTTTGAGTAATTTCTTTTTTGTTTTACTCTTTATAGATATACATTTTATTTTCTAATAAAATCTTTGAAAAAAATAATTTTTCTGTAGAAAACTGTATGTATTTCCTTGTAAATATTTATGACAGGACTAGGTATCACTGTAACATGTAGAGAAGAATTTCTCAGGAACTTCAAGAGCCCAAAAGCAGCACGTTTGGACTGTGTTTTTTCCAGCTTATCAGTCCTAACACTAAGTACATTTCATACCTTTGCTTGAGTAATACTTGGCAAGCTTTTATCATTAATTATGATAGTGCTCCACTTTTTAATCTCCCTTTCATTAATTTTTTTTTTTCCTATTGACCCAGCATATTTTTTCTGAGTAAAACTTAATTTAATCAATGGATAAAAACCACTTGGCAACAATGAATTGTTTCCATTTTATCAAAACATCTGATTCATATACTACACCAATTAACTACTAGGTAGGTACTACTGTTTCTTAAATACTAATAATGTTTTTGTTATAGACAGAAAAATGGGCTAAAATTCAAAACAAATGAAGTAAACGTCAACAAATCATGAACTTACTAAAATATACTCACGTTAAGAGTTAAATCTTTGGCACGGCTGCTCATATATGCTGCAACGTGCAAATCCATTTCATCAGTAATTTCCACATGAGTGTATTTTTCTCTGAACATAAGTCAAAAAATTAATAAGCAAACATACATTATTCCTGGAGTAGTCAGATTTAAAGTTATATACAAGGTCTATTTTGTTATTCGTAAAATGATAGTAAAATTAAAAAAAAAAAAAAATATATCCCAAAAGCGCACATACCAAATTTTTCAAAGGAACACAATAAATCAGTTATAGAGTCTCAAAACAGTTCATGAAAGGAAAGTGGCAGGCACTGATAGGGGTCACAAATCTCAACATTATAGGAATCCTGTGGTACAATCTATATGACAATCAGGTGAAAGTAATTCTAAGTACAACTTTTGGGTTAGTTAATAGGATGAGGACAGGAAATTAATGGCAGAGTTAAAAGCCCTCCCGGCACTGGGACAGGAACTCGTAATTATTCTGTCATCTATAACTTCACTTATCAAGTTGCCAGGCAGTGCGTGGTACTGTGCACTCACATTAGCCCGCTCGGCCACCCCATCCCTGAGATATTTAGTGCTTGTGAACTAAACTTTTTCGGATTAGAATACTTCTTCAGAAATCATCACCTCACTCGAAGAACAAAATTAAGATTATATAAAATTGTAATTTTCCCAGTCTAAAAAGATACAGCTTTCTCAAGGTCTGATAAGCAAACTCCTGACATTTGAAAGGAAGCTTTATGCTAAATCTACGGAACATTTAGAATAAGCCAAAACTGAAGGTAAAACAGTAACTTAGAGCACTACTTGCTGACTAAGAAGGGCAAAATGATAAATTTAATTCATAAATAATTAAAAATCTGGAGCGCGCAACAAACAACTTTCACTCACCGCTCAACTTTGAATAGAAATTATTTTCTGGCCATGTTGGGCTATTATAAAATTTTTGGATTGCATTTTTAACTGAGCTACTGCTAAAAAATTATAGTTAACAAATCATAAATACCATTAAAATAACAAAAATCCTATTTATTATATCATCGGTTGATTATGGACTGTACGACTATTAGTTATTAAACAGTTATTTTTCAGTGCAAAGTTTACTAAAACGGAATTAAGAGATTTGGGAATAAACAGACATTGATACCTAATTATTTAAATATAATATCAGTTCTAGAATTATTAAACTACAGCAAATGTATTTAAAGGGTTATAAACATGGGTCTTATACATCCATGAAATGATTTTATATTTTACATCTTCTTTCACACAAGTACAATGTAATATTTTTTTAACAATGTCATTGCCTTGATTAGGTGGATTTTAAATAGTTTTTTCAAACTTAAAAATATTTTTAAATTTTACATTTAGTAAGTAAATTTCATTTAATTTCCTTTAAAACATGTGATTTACGTTAAATATTATTAGTTTTCAAAAATTATTACTTATAATTTTTTTGCCACTCTCCGTTACTTTCTACAACTCATTTTCGATCTGGATAAGCATTTCTATTTTTTCTCCTTTATTAACTTATCAAATTCTTTCAAAGTTATATTTAGCATTTTTTCGTAACTCTGAATAATGTGAGGTGATTAATTTTTTTAAATAAACCATATTAAAGGTACTTTAGAAGAAGACGTATATGAATATTGGGCATTTAAGCCCTGTAAAGTGAAATCAATGGGGATAAGACCTGATTGATATTAAAGACCACTTAATTATACAATGATACACAGAGTTTAATCAAAATCGTTAGAGCCGTTTTTGAGAAAATTCTAAAAATGTGTTTCACAATTGATATAAAGTAGCACTTCTGGTAAGCCCATTTTAAAGAAAAAGTTGTAGTCATATCTACAGCATATACCTATTTTAAATGCGTAATATCAGTTTTGTACGACTTTTCATTTTTGAGCTAGACTGCTAACATACACACAGACCATTTTTCGGGACTTTGTTATTTGGACTCAGGGTACACCAAAACGTGTATTTACGTTGAAAACTCAGAATCAAGAATGTTCACGATCGCAATACTTACCCTAACTATATATTACATATGTACGTAAGTGAAAGTAAAAACTCATTGAAAAACCTGAACCACTACAACCCATGAAGGTTCTTGGGTTCAGTACTATATGAGGAAGTACAAGGCCAACGGTTGTACAGGGAGGTGATTGGGCCGAAATCACACTCAACCGCCAAGTTTTCCCCTTTAATTAATTATTTAATTAAGAGTACCCACTTTGTAGAGCCTGGGTGTGCCCCAGGAGGATCTCACAAGCACAGGGTCGATCCATGGCTCGACAAAAAGATTGATCAATAATGAAAGGTCCATTAAAAAAAAAATTGCTAAATGTTTTTCCAAGGAATTATTGAAAAATTACTGTACTTTTCTGAGCTATTTCCTGCACGAGAGAAAATCAGACACAATTACTGTACACAGGATATTCTAAGTGTAATGCACAATCCATATTTTCTTTCTTAACCAATCTCAAAAATTTCTGAATAAATAATGATAAATTTAATTAATCGATAATTAAGGATTCATTAACAATATATCTCTCATAACATATTTCAATAACATAAACTTACATCGGCAATCCAGTTAGCTTCTCTGCTGGACTACTTGTATTTTTCTCCACAGGCGATGAAAAGCTGTAGGAATTATTATCTTCTACAAAGTCTTCATTAAACGATTCATCATTGGAACGTGATGTCCTATAATTGTTACGTTCCTTCGATGGGGGGAATTGTCCTTGACCACGAGTGGGACCCATATTTCCTCTGAGAATAAACATGTACTTAATACAATTAATAAGATCAGACTTGTATAGAGCCACAATACCTCATAAATAATAAGATAGGCAACATTTAGAAAAAAGAAATAAAAACCACTTCAACTCATATTCATAAACTTACGTATATTTTTCAGATTTTTCTCTGCTACTATCCTGATAAGCCTTTGAAAATTGAACAAATAATTCGTATGGAGGTTTTTTGTGTACAGCTGAAATCGCACTTTGTGCTTCACTAAAAGAGAAAATAAATTATTAAAATAGATTTCCTTAAGAGTAAAAATCATTAACATTGAAAGACTGACTTACGCTACAGTCTTGTATTCAACAAATCCCCAGTACGTATTAGACTGCTGACCTTTCTTATTTTTTGATATGTAAACACGAACAGGTACACTGCACTCAGCAGCGAATATATTACTAAGCCCTTTCTGAAAAAAAATTATTAAAATTAAAATAAAAAAAATTCAAGTATAAAAGCACAATTCAGTGCAATAAAGTACTAATTATTCAAAAGTGGTTTTGGCAGCAAGATAATCCAACTGAGAACTACGCAAATATCATTTAGTTTTCTTCTTTTCTTATCTCTTTCTCATCCTCTTGGAAAGCAGAATCTGAAGCCTGGTCAATCAAGATTACTTAATGTCTTCTTTTTTCCTTATGGCTTAATGTCTTTTAATTCCTTCTGGCATCGCACTTAGATTTTCTCTGCCACTCTCTTCTGCTGAACCAGCCAGTAGAAGTGTCTGTTGGTGGAGGTCAACTCTTCGCTAAGATAAACTCGGTGGTAGTCACTTTCTTGCAAGCCAATATTGTGCATCAAGAAATCCCTCCTGACTTTTCTTTTCGCGATCAGGTATTGGTATTCCGTGGATTTCCAGCGATCTGCTTAAAACGTTATGTTTTGTTCAGGCAAACCTCTAATTCTACCACTCGACTTGATAATAGATTTTATGCCTATCACATGGATTTGACTACAGACAAACACAGAACCAAATTTGTTCCATGATTTTAAAACGTAGTAAGATGAAAACAATTATTTAATGGACCTCATGGATAAAAATCTTCCCTCTACTGCAGAAGAAAAGAACTGTATGGACACCTACTGTTTTTAATTTTATTGAGAAGTTGGTCGGGGTGGTGCGGTCAAATAAATACTAAATTTTTAAAATAGTGTTTTAATTTTTACACCCTCCGACTGCACCCTCCAACCAACTTCTTCTCATATTGTATCATGGTCAACCATCTCTACACCATTTTAATTTTATTATTTTCTTTTTACTTAGAAACTTTTTGTAATATTTTTCACTTCTTTTTTGCAATAAATTGTTTGAAAATATCCTTATTTCTTGATCACTTAGTCAAAAACTTTGATTTCGATGAATTTTGATGAATGAGGTATCAAATGAAAATGAATTACATGGATAAGTGACAAATCATAATTTCAAAACTTAAAACTTAATTACAATTATAAATAAAGTCATTGAAAACATTAGGAGGGTTCAAAAGTCAACGGATCAAAACGGGATAAATTGTTTTTTAAATATTTCAACATGGACATCATTTCCAGTATAGTTCCAAAGCCTTAAAATGTACTGTTTTTTGAGATAAGGCATAGGCCCAACCTAATACTAGCGATAGTGAATCTTGATGCCATGGTAGGCATGGATTCCTAATCACATAAAAATTAAAATATCCTATTTATTGTAGAGCTTATCTTCATTAATCATTTCTACAAGATTTTATGCTACGCCATATCTTTTTTAATGCTTTATCAAATCCAATGATGGAACTATCATTTTTAAAGATTTTTTTTTTCATTCAGATGAGAAAAATAGTCACATCCCATCAAAATTTTAGGGGAAAAAGTTAAGAATGAAAATAAATATTATTTGCGAATAACTCAAAAAGTTTATACTTCATAGTTGATTGCACCCATGATTATTTGAAAGGTTACTAAATTCCCTACAAAACAAAAATTAATAAATAAATAATAATAATAAATAAGACTATTTTCAGCAAAGACACTCCTAATTGTAATTTTTACCTTGTATGTTTTGGTCTACTATTTTAAATTAAAATTAATTCTTCCCTGATATAAATACATTTAATCTACTTATTTCCATATTACATTGCCATTTATTTACAGATCAAAATATATTGAAAAGAAATGAAAAATTAATTTTATTCTGGGACTAAAGTCACTTTAAAATAGTAACAAAGTTAAAAAAATATATATATATCAGTATGGTATGTGGATATGATACAGATACATACAAAAAATACAAAGAAAAGATACAGATATATATATAAAAAATACAGAGAAAAATAAATATAAAAATAAGGCTTTCATCATTTGTCTATTGGTGAGCAATTGTATTTAATAAATTTCTTCTGGAATTCTTATAAGCTGACAGAAGTTTGAGTGTGTTGTAGGTGGTGGAATAAAAGTTGTTTGAAGGGATTTGTGGACATTGTTTTATGTATAGAGATAAGTAAAGGAGGTAGCACGAATGACGAAGGATTTGTTGAAAAAAGTTGTATGGGAGGGAATATAAAGACCTACAGGTTGAGACTTGGTATTAAGAGAGCGCAAGAGTAAGGAGTTCTAGGATATAAGGAGAATTTTTGGTTCTGAGGGATGGAAAAGGAAAACACCAAGAAGGATTAGCCATATGGAAGTAGGATAACTTCAACTCGGTGCATAGCATAGGAAACATGGGTATGCCTGGGAAACCCAAAGATGAATCATATAAAGAAATTTCTGTATATACAGGATATAAACAAAAAATTTCATATTAACATAAATCTCAAACTCATTTATTAAACAGATATCAAAGTTTAAAGATTTATTATCTATTATTACTATTTATTATCATTACAACATTTAGAGTAACTGTTCAAAGGGGCCTCAGTTTTGTTGAATGCAACATTTAGTACGACGAATCCATGCTTCTCTGGCTCTTTATATAGCATCAGAATGGTGCTTGATAGTTACTGCGTCTTCCATGATCCGATTTCTTAGCTCTTTTTGTATGCCAACTGCCGCAGAATAAACCATACACTTCATCCAGCTCCAAGCAAAATAATCTAATGGCGTTAAATCCAGAGATCGTAATGGCCATTTAACATGTCCCTTTCGACCAACCCATCGGTCTCCATAAGTTGCATTTAAATAACCAGTGACACTATTAGAAAAGTGAGCTGGAGCACCATCAAGCATAAACCACAGCCTTAGCCCAATGCCTAGCAGAATATCTTTTAGGAGTTTATGAAGATTATTTTGCAAAAAATGTAAGTAAGATATATCTGACAACCTAGGTGGCAAAAAGAAGGGGCCAATGATGTTGTCACTTAGAAGACTACATCAGACATTTAAAGAAAAAGTATGTCGGTAATGTCCAACTGCAGTCGTATCAGGATTTCCTTCAGCCCATATGGGTATTTCGAAAATTAAGAATCCTGTTTCTTGTAAAGCAAGATTCATCAATAACCAAAATGCAGTTAAGGAAATTAGGATCTCATGTGAATTGTTGAATTAACCACTGGGAGAAATTTTTGAGCTTGTTATAATCTTGTGGTAACATATCTTGCCTACTTGATAAGTGAAATGGATACAATTGTTGTTTGTGTAAAGTTCCCCATACGCTGGTAGAGGAAAAATCGAAACAACGTGACAATCTTCTGGTACTAGGTACTAGAAAGGAGATAACTGAACAGCATCGAGTATTTCTTCTTCAACGTTTGCAGTTTACTCATATATCTTTTTGGCATTCCATTATCCCTAAAGCGTCTTTCAACGGCCTTAAACGTTTTACGATTTGGTATTCTTCGGTTAGGAAATTTTTCATATCTTCAAACAGCAGCAGCACCATTTCTGTGTACCCCGTCATAAGTTAAAAACATGTCTGTTTGTTATGCAAAAGTGAATAAATTTATGGTGTCTCCCATGATAATCATAAATTGAACTGTGTCACAGTATTACTCACACTAAAACACACAGAACTAGACAAACAGATGAGCAACTACTGTCATTGTTTATCATTCATTTGTTTATCAGGTGATCAAAACCTGTTAGTATTAAACACGTTAAACTTTGTACAGTCAATGTAATAAATAAATAATAAATCATTAACCTTCGATATCTGTATAATAAATGAGTTTGAGGAATATGCTAATATGAACTTTTTTGTTTATTTTGGTTAGTGAACACATACCTAAAATAGAGCCGTGCAACTACAAAACACCCTGTATATTATACGAATTATTCATACAGGGCAACTAGTCCCAGACTATCTCTGACTTTTTCATAAAAATGATATTCCCTGATTTTTTTTCCAGTTTTCCATTTCTGTAAACACCCTGAATAAAATGAAGAAAAGTGACCCTAAGAAAGACTGTGAGAATGTGTATGTGCATAAGTGAGAAAGCATTCCTGTGTGTGTACTTATTAGATAATATCCCTACCCAGTCAGTTTGAATCACTTTTTCTACTATGGTTATTTAATACATTAATTTGAAAATTTTATATTTACCTCATCTAATCCTTGGGGTATATTTGCAACATGGAGTGTTGGTTGCCCACTTTCCCTTCTTCTGCAATAAAAAGAAATAATAATAATAAATATTCTACTAAGCAAAATTTATTTTGAGGTAACACTAATTTTATTGCTAATAAAGACAATTATTACACAAATATTGAATGGAATTCAGGACTCAATTCAACTAAGCCACAAAAAAATAATTGTAAAAATAAGGTAAAACTAGTTATGGTGTTCCTCATCTAGAAGATATTCAAAAATTCTATGATAAAACAACCCAACCTCATCATTTTGTTATTACTACTTTCCCTGACAGTATCTGTTCCTTTTTAATCAGCGAAAAAGTAGGATGAATGAGTAAGATAAAAGGATCGTTTTTTATAAAATGCTCAACTCTAGCAAGCAAGGGGATCAGCTCTCGAACATTTTTAAGTATTAGGAAACTTCACGCCTGGAAACGCCATTTCCCAGATAGAACAGGGTAAAATATAATAGATTATTGGTAGGGGCAATTCACATTTTTTAAAAATTAGAATTCAATACATCAATAAGTTTACGAAATAACCATTGAGTAGAATATGAAGTAAATATCAAAAGCTTGTTTGTTAAGAGCATTCGAAGAATGCTTATAAATTAATTAAGTTAATAAGTTTCAAACTTTAAAACTTGGTTTTCTTAAAATGCATTTCAAATAACCACATTCTGTATTAACTATATACATGTAAAATTGAAATTACTCCCATAAAACTAACAACCAATTTGTACAAGAATTGTTTTGTTGCTATTTAATGGTTAATAACAGAAAAAATATTGCAAATTACATAACACTCGGAACACAAATTCTATAATGTCTACAAGAATATGACATTCCATAAAAGATAATACATCCAAATAATGAGAAAAGGTAATATGATAACTGAGCTTTATGATGATTAAAACCAGTATGGTTGTCACTGAAAGTTCAGATTTTTTAGTAGTTTAAGAGAGGTATAATGAAAACTAAAATGTCATTATTAGTGATTTAAAACTTCATTAATGACTTACTACAAACCATATTTAGAAAATATGGCATCAAAGAGAACTAAAATTTAAAAAAAAAAATACATACAGCAGATTGGGGATCTTCAGAACTAACATTGTTTTGTAGGCTTCCAAAAATAAAAATAATGGAAAATCAAAATTTAAAAAAAATGAAAGACTTTAAATAATCAACGACATTAATACGATTTCTTTTTATATGAAGTAAATAGCAAAAAAAATAACAATACTCCTTTTAAGAATAATCTTTCTACGACGATTTTTCTCATACAAGACATATTTCAAAAATTAGATAGAATCAGAACAACCTATACCTTCTTATAAATATAAAATTATTACAAACCAATTCTATTATTGCCCAAAACAAGTTAACAAACCTGTTTAGTGAATGCCAATGTTTGAAATCAATATGTTGGTCTTTATCAATACTGAAGTTTGGAGAGAAATACCTACAAAAAGTATTTTCTTTAACTGTCTGACTCTTGCAACTATTCAGTAGGCAGCTTCTTAAGCAATTAAAAAACTTTTATATTAAATTTATAAAAAAGGTAGTATATAAATCAACAATTGACGAAGACGACAAGGAAGACTTATCCACTTTGAAGACTACTGAGCCTGGCTACTGGCTAATTCATCCATAAACATTGAGTGTTTGTAATGTGTTAGTTTGTAATGAAATGTAGTGATAGACTGTTTTTATTTGTTTGCTTACTCTAATAACCACTTATGTTTTGTAACTCTTAAATTGTATTACCACAAAGTTAAGGTTCTGTTTATTTATTTAAACAAATCATGTTTTTAAAATTACTAGTTTATCAGCATAACAACATAAATTGAATTTAGTAAGCTAATTTTTTATTAATCCGATAAAATAATTATTATTTAAACTCGACAGCTTCTTGAAGTTAAATTAGGGTTATTTTCAGTAATATTATTGCAAAAATATTGTAGTTTGTATAATACTTCCCAAATAAATGATAAGCCTTAAGGAATTAACAACTTATCAAGGATAAATACCAAATGTATCATGTTTTTCATATAAACATAATATATAAGAATCATGAATTAAGTATATCAACTATTAAAACAATAATGCAAAGTTTAGATGATGATTATATTTACTAGCACCTAATAAAATAACATACATGATTATTAATAAATTGTTAAACGAAAAGTTATGAAATACAACTTACAAACAGTAAATTGGTAAAAATAATAATTTAAAATATTCAAAGATTTTTTTGTTGAGACAACTTTTAAATTATTTATTATAGTACCACAAAGAGTTTTCTCTTTAGAAGTTAATTTTATCAGATAATTCAGGATCAAAACACTCTTTTGTCACTATTGTTATAAAAACAATTGTGATATAAAATGTTAAAAAAAGGTTTTAAAACACTTAGGGCCGTTCTTGCAGATATATTTACAACTTTTAATACAAGCTTTAATTTACATAGCATCGATTCAAATTTTATCATTTGTCTGTGGCAATATCAATGTAACTTTAGAACAGGAATTAGTTGTAATTTCAAAACTTTCCTTATCTGTAGTGCAAGCCTATTATGTTCTTAATGTTTTAAAAAAGGTAAGAGACATTGCTATGTATAAGAATGACAATTCCTAAAAGAAGGATATTTCCACTTAATCTACAAAGAATACAGTAGATATAGATACTCTAACTAGCCATTAAGTAACATTTCATGACTTTAAATCATTAAGGAATTCGATAAATGTTTTATCTGTTAAATCAGAACATTGAGCACTTAGTGTAACTATTTTTGATAAGTATGAGGATTTGTATCATTTTGACGCACTTACCATGTTTTTCCATGAATAACTAGATATGTAAATAGGGCCACTAGGCACAAATAAAAATAAAAACTAAATTTATAAAACAACTCAATGCAATGTCACCAAGTTTTTTTTGTAACTAAAAAATTACTGATTGTAGAACTTTGGCAACATCAAAATCTTATTTATTATGACTATGAAAAATTGGAACATCATTAATTTTTGTTTTAACAGCTAACCATGCAATAAATACACAAATGTTCAATCACAAACATACCAATCTAATTATAGTCAATTTTTCAATTATGCTGGTTTTCTTCTACATATATATTTAGTAAATATCAGCATATATGAGCAAACAAAAGAATTATAACAAAACACAGATTTCTTTTGTTTATCATTACAGATAAAAATCTAATAGACAGAAACATTTAACACTGTAAGGCTTTTTTTATGTTAAAATTAAACTGATTTAAGAAATATCAAGAATTACCGAAAATTATATCATTCAGGAATCATATTGAACATCAAAAATTCAGCTTGACATAATCCAAAAATCAACCAATACATTAAAATATGATGTGAAGTCAACTTTTCAGTAATAATTATTCTTCTACTATAAAATGGTGATAAATCTTAATTCTACTTGAACTTATTACTAGCTCACAGACTTAAGGAGTTTTAATTAACAATAATTTCACTAATGAACAAAATTCCCAAAAACGTTTGAAAACTAATTAAATTCAATGAACTTCCAAAATGTATCAAATCAATTAAAAGAGTATAAACTTACTGATTTTGTTTCATTTGGGAACCACCATCCTGAGAATTCATTTCTGTTTGGTAATCATCTTTATCATAATTGTTAAAACCATTACTCATTCTTCCCCTTCCTGCCATGGTCTGAAGAAAAACTATAATACCGAAACTATAAAAGTAATAAGCAACAAAGTAAAATTTATTATACAATGGTAGAAATTACGAATTGTGAGGAGAAAAATATTTAAAATGGCGTTTTACACCGGTATACACTAAAACATAAACAGAAGAAACCACACCAACTTCTGGTCAACGAGGTCTTACCACTGTCTAAATAAAACTGTGTTTAAGTTGCTCCCGCCATCAACAACAACGAGATATAAAAGAACATCGCATTTACAGAAAATACATGAATGTAACTACATAAATGTAATAATTCATTTTTATCTATAAACATTGTTAGAACTATATTATTAAAGTTGAAGCTCGTGGTAAAGAAAATTGCTAGCACATTTAGGGAAAAAGTTCAAAAATAAAAAAATACATTTCTTATTAAAGGTTGATTTATATTAAAAATTATTGATTAATATGATAGTTTTAAACAATCTTATATTGTATCTTTTTCAGTTCAATATTTTAGTGCACATACACACATAGTAGTTTTCTTTCAGCCATTAAAGGTATTATTGCTAGAATGGAAATGATGAGACCCCACATTTTTTTTTTTTTTTTTTTAAAACGTTTTATTTCACCTGAAAAGTGAGGGGAAAAAACTTATTTTGGATAAAAAAAGAAGAAGATTATTGTAAAAAATAATCAAGCTTAAATTGTAGGTTTTTTTCCGTTGCCATTTTTTTTTCTTATTCCCATGAATGAGTGATTGAGATTTTTGCATTTTTAAATTTATGGTATGAAGTCTCTTATGCTGCATAGATCATATATACACTAACAGGCAACAAATTCCACCCACTTGATTTTTTCATGTTTTCATCTAAAAATATTTCTGCTTTGGATTGGTCTGTTGTTTTTAATGAATAAATAGGTAATCTTTTTGTTTGTTTTCAATTAGGAATGTCAATATAGAGGACAATAACCCTTAATCCTTAATTCAATGAAATGATTCTAGATTCCAATGTTTAGTTTCTACGGAATCAAAATGTTTATTCAGTATTATTAGTTCGGTGCCGTTTCTTGCAGCACATTTCTTAGTCTCCGGCTTTTAATTTATTCAATATTAAGTTTAAAAATAACTCTTGTGCTGAGGATGTTGCGCGTGGTGTGGCACTTATTGATGATGGACTTTCCATTAGATATGCAGCTAATGCCATCGGAGTTCCATATGAAACTTTACGAGACGCCGTCAGGTGTTTTCGGGAAACTAGTTCTTACAATAGAAGGCCCGGTTCTGGACGGCCTAGGGTAACAGAACCACGGGATGACCGGTTTTTGACTTTAAGAATTTCACGAAACCGGCACCTTACCGTTGTTCAAGCGATTCATCAGGTCGAAGAAGTTCGAGGTGTGCAAATTTCTGAACGTACCGCTCGGAGAAGATTAAATGAGTGTGAATTAATGGCTTTTCGTCCAGTAAGAGGGCCAGAGTTTACCAGAACTCACAAAGTAACACGACTGGCTTTTGCTCGAGAACACAGCCATTGGACTATGGACGAATGGAGTGCTGTACTTTTTACAGATGAGTCAAGATTCGCTCTTCGATATCCAGACGGACGTGAAAGGGTGTGGAGAAGAAGAAACGAAAGATATGCAGCCTGTAATTTTTCCCAGAGCCAACCATTCCAACGTGGTTCCTTAATGGTGTGGGCTGGGATTTCAATGGAAAGCCGCACAAAATTGGTTGTTGTTCGTGGAGGGTCTTTGACAGCCATTAGCTATGTAGATGAGATTTTGGAACCTCATATGTTGCCTATCCTCAACGAAATCGGCGGTCGTTCTATTCTAATGCACGATAATGTACGCCCACATGTCGCCCGCATAGTGCAGACGTTCCTTCAACAGAACAATATTGAGGTTTTAGCCTGGCCAGCACGTTCTCCAGATTTGAATCCCATTGAGCATTTATGGGATAACCTCGGAAGACGAATAAGAGCCCGTGCAACATTTCCTAATACACTGTAGGACCTTGAATGGGCTCTTCGGGAGGAATGGGCTATCCTCCAGCAAAGATACTAAGAGGCATTTTTAAACTTAATATTGAAAAAATTAAAAGCCGGAGATTAAGAAATGTGCTACAAGAAACAGCACTGAACTAATGATACTGAATAAACATTTTGATTGCATAGAAAGTAAACATTGGAATCTAGAATCATTTAATTGAATTAAGGGTTGTTGTCCTCTATATTAACATTCCTAATTGAAAACAAACATAAAGTTTACCTATTTATTTATTAAAAACAATAGACCAATCCAAAGCATAAATATTTTTAGATGAAAACATGAAAAAATCAAGTGGGTGGAATTTTTTGCCATTCGGTGTATTTTAAGGGAGTTTTGTCGAGTTAGTTTTAAAAATTGGTTAGTCCTGAATCGTTAGCCTATTTATGGGACTTATTAGTTGTCTCGTGTCAGTACAGTTAGTTAGTAGTCCTCAGTCTAGTCAAGTCTGATGATTTTTGTAAGTGTTAGCCGCCTCTGTGGCCGTCCCGTAGGAGTTATTGTCTTAAAAATCTCTATGGTCACATATTGAAGGTTATCAAAAAATTTGCCTGCGCGTTATAAAGTATGTCAACGTCGGTAATTCTAAGGTCTTGTGGAGTTGGGACGTTTTTCTCCTCTGTAACTTAGTATGTCTCACAATACGCCTTAGCGTCTCAGCACTCCGTTATGAAACTGCTAAAGCTTAGTTGCAGTTGAAGCTTAAATATTTGATAACATCGGCGTTCCATAAAGAAGGGCCGGTCTAAAAACTCTTTTATAAATTAATAATTTGAGGCGGAGGAATTTATTCGGTGAGGGCAACAAATGATTAGGCAGTAAAATTTTATCTTCACCTGCTTAATTTTCTTCTAACAGTTGCGTTTGGTGCCTGTCATGAATGATTCCCAAGTACACTATACTCCTCTCTGTTCTACTATACTCCTCCGGTGCTCTCTAGACCTTAGGAAGTGGGCGCTTGTTCTAATAGAAGAAAAAATTATATAGTCCGTTTTGTATTAACTGTAATTTAAGTCCTTCCAGTTTATTTGTGATTTTTTTCTATTGCCATGGAAAGGAGCAGGAATATATAGTTTTGTTCGCGGCTATTATGACTGGGAAAGAAAACAAAACATGATATCTATTTATCTTAAATATCAAAATTATGGAAAAATATAACAGAAAACATAACATAATACAATAGGGATATTGATAGTAATGAACTGTATTTTTCAATATTATTACGGTGATTAATCCCTAACTCTTAATAATCTATAAAATGTTTAATAACGTATATCAAAATAAAATCATTGACATTTATTTGAATGATTCTGAAGGAACAAGGGATAACGATGATAAATTTATCTAAATGACAATGTTTACATTTTTGGTTTATTATTTTTAGAATATAAAAATCGAATAAATAATAATTAGTCCGTCTGCATCTTTTCGATTACTGGGCCAATTTTTTTTTCCCAACACCGGTAACTCAGTAAAATCACGAAGTCCGCTATTGCAATCTGCCCTTTCATTTCAAAATGTTGCCTATAAGAGGTTTCTACGCACTTGTTCGTGAGTGACAGTTGATAGCTAGAGGAATAATTGAATTGGATCCTTAAGGCCGAAAACACACTTGGCGTTTTTTTCCGATCGGATTTTTTACCTGGGAAACATGGAAAATTGGTCTATCAAAAGAAAAGATCCTAAGCATGTGAAAGGAACACTTCCAGCAGCTCCTCAATCAAGGGCACCCCGCAAACGAAAAAGACATGGACAGGCTCCGTGTACGAATGTTGTAGTTACATAGGCATAGCACTTGTTCCGGTCTATAAGAAAATGACTAATATTCTGCTGAGTCGGATACATCCGTATCATGAAGCATAATAGGCGACCACCAAGCAGGATTCAGAAGAGGAATGAGTACGACAGACCAGATATTCATCCTAAAACATGTACTCAAAAAACGATGGGAAGTAGACCAGGATGTAAACGCATTATTTGTTGACCTCAATTCAGCATATGAGTCCATGGATAGAAACTGTCTTTGTAAGATTATGACTGAGCTGGATTAGGACCTCCGAGTGAGAATAGGAGATGATCCAAGAAACTGGAAGAAGATCCTCCGGGAGGATACAGTAGAGAACTGGAACCGACGGTGGTTGACGACTCCCAAAGGATCTACCCTAAGGAAGTACTTCCCCACCGTCAGTTCGCGACTAGAAGCGACTTGGGTCCTCCCGGACTACTGGATTTCACAGATTCTCACGGGGCATGGGGGTTTCCGAGCAAAGCTCGTTCAGTATGGTATAAATATCGATCCCCTACGCCCAAGTTGTGGGGTACCAGAGACCGCTGAGCATGTAGTACATACCTGTACGGTCTATGAGTCACTGAGGGCGAAACTGTTGAGAGAAACAGGTCTCTTTGTCGTAACAGAGAGAGATCTTCCTCAACTTATGGCCAAAGACAAATACGATCACTTCAAACGATTTATATATGGATGGAAAGAAGTTGTACTACCAACTCACTTCTCTTTGAGAAGAAGAAGAGAAGCTGCACCGGGGAGGCCACCAGAATAAGAAGAAAAGAAAACCAGATGCAAGTGAAGAGAAGAGCAAGCTGTGTGCACAGCTCAGAAAAATAATGTAATAGCCAAAAAATGCAGCAGTGGGTTGTTATGTAACAGTAACATCCCACTGCTGCAAATACCCGTATTGCCTTCAGGCAGGGGAGGGTTGAAAATAAAATAAAATAAATGACTGAGCTGGATATTCCTGGAAAGTTAGTGAGTTTGACGAAGGTGTGCTGATGATCCTAAATGCAGGATACTAATACAAGGAGAAGTATATGAAGCCTTTGAAGTTCGAAACAAGTTTGAGATAGGGAGATGGACTCTCGCCAAAGCTGTTCAACTTAGCCCTTGAGAAAGTAGTAAGAACATCAAGCGAAGATGGAGCGGTGTAGGTTGGAATGAAACGTAAATCCTAGCA